TTTCAGCGGGCGCTAGAAAGCTACAAGAAGGTGCTCGGATGAGACCACCTATCGACTGTCACCACAGTCAACAACCTAGGCGACCTCTACGCGGATCAAGGCCGGCTGATGGAGGCTACGTCGATGTATCAGCGGGCGCTGCAAAGCAGGGAGAAGGCGCTCGGACGGGACCATCAATTGACTTTCAATACGGTCTGTAACGGGCTGGGCCCCTTTGAAGGCCTCGGACACACTCGGCCAAGTCGGACATAAGAGTTGGACGCAGAGTACGACACGACCATCCGATTTCAGCAACCCGACGTCACGCTAAGCGCATTCTGACTCTGAAGAGCCATTGCTCTGAATAAACGGGGCACCACGAGGGAGCTGTTCTGCTCTTTTCCCTCTTTACTTCCTCAAGTTTAGTATGCTCGTAGAGTCGTCACCAGCTAGTTGCAAGACACTCGTTGGGACCGTTACACTTTCCTGGTCCGTGTTGGAAAAGCGTGATTGTTGTTATACCATTATAGGGGGCCAGGGAGTGCGTTAGGAGTATAGAGGATGATAAGAAGGTAGAGAGGAAGGGGAGTTTTGGTGTTCGAGGGTAGCGGAGAGAGGAGACAGGACACAACGGCATGAGCGAGTCAGGCAGCAAAGCCAAGCCAGCAAGGCTAGCCAGGCCAGCACCGAGGCTCGAGGGTCGGGCGCAGTCGGTTCGTGTCCCTGAACCGGGAACGAAATCCTGGCGCCGAAAAAATGCACCGCCATCACGAATGCGCGGGGTGCTTGCTAAAGGGACTCAATGGGAGTGAACGAAGTAGAGCGGGCGACGCCTTCCGGTCTCCGTCGCCGGCGCCGTTTGCAATTCTTACGGAGGCGGCCCCACTCCGGGAACGCGAACGGGGTTCTCGGCCGGCAGAGCTTCGGGCAAACGTTGGGTCGGCGCTTGCTGAGTCATCAATTGCAGCCGTGCGAAAGGCAAGATTTTGCGTCGTCGGGATTGCATACCGGCACTGGGGTTGACTGCGCATCCCACGATCCCCGATGCTCATCCCAGATTGGGCAGCCCAAAGTCCCGAGTCATCCCGAGGCCTCTCACGATAACCTGGAATCATGGATGGCCCCTTGGGCCCGCACCCCGACGCGCCAGGTGGTCAGACGCCTTGGATACCAGCCGTTCCTGCACAGCTACCACATGCAATCGCCTCTCCGCCCGGGAAGCGGCGGTTCGAATGCAGTGTCCTGGCTTGCGGCAGACACTTTACTCGGAAAGAACACTTGACGCGCCATGCCAAGTCTCACAGTTCGCACCCTCAACATCAGTGTCCCATTTGCGGTCGCAGATACGCGCGGAGGTGAGCTGCTCCTAACTGCCCCAAATTGAATCACAATGGACGTCGATGGGCTGATTCCCTCGGCCAATAGTGACGTCCTCAAGCGACACATCGAGTTCCACCCACAGCACTCGAGTCGAACCTCTACGCTGGTCGCCTGTGTCTCCTGCCGTGAGCGCAAGCTGAAATGTGACGACAACACTCCGTGCCAGACTTGTCGTCGAAATGGCATTGACTGCATCAAAGGTGGCCCCAGCCCAGATACCGGTTCCGGCGATGCAACCACTAATACGGCTGCCGACGGGCATGCGCATCTGGATCTTGCCATGACAAATGCTAACCTCGTTGGTCAAAATGCTCCGGCAGAGAGCCCCTTGCTGCCAGACATCTCCGACATTGACGGGGAGAACTCGCCATGGCCCGCCGGAAGCCATGGCCATCAGTGGTGGCTTTCTGCCCAGCAACCTCCATGCGACTGGTCGTTGTCTTCGTTGCCTTCCCCGGCTTCACTAAACCCCGGCTTCAGCAATGCCCACATCCTCGCTGACGGGCCCAACCAACATCATCCGGCCACCACCTTAACTAGGGCCGTAGACCTTTCCCTTCCCCAAGCCAGTGAAGGTGCAAGTCCAGTTCAGGGGCCACCGGGCATTGTGGGTGGGCAAGTCGCCCGAGGCCCTTCAAGAATAGCTTCAGAGAACGACCAACCGCTATTTGAAACAACGCCCCCGGAGAGCGGTCGATCCGAAGCAGTATCCCGCGTGTCGTCCCTTGGCACAGGCCACGGCTTCAGCGCCGTGCCGTCAAACACCACCAGGTCTTCCGCCCCGACCACGTCACCTGGGGGCGAACCTGCCCGAGAAAGTCGGGGACTCCACGGCCTCGTTCACCATGACCCTGCTGTTCTCCGTGATCTTGTTCAAGCTTTCTTCACGGAGATCCACCCTTACTGGCCTATCCTCCATGTTCCGACCTTTGAGATTGGGGCCGCGTCCGACATGTTGTTGGGATCGATGCTTATGCTCTCCAGTTGGGTCACTGGCCGGCAAGAACATCTGGAGCTCGCGCCTATTGTGTTCCGCGAGGTGACCAGTACTATTGAACCCGTGAGTGTGTCCTACTCAAAGCCTTACTGCAGGACGGTGGCTAACGAGGAGTTAGGAGTCCGCTCCGTCCCTGCACAGCTTACAGGCTCTTCTGCTCTATGTCGTATATACTGTTTGCCGCCGGGTAAGCAATCACTCACCGAGTAAGTCAGGCCCGCCCGTTGACAAACATGCAGAGTGAGGAAGGCATGCTGGCCAAGGCAGTCCGCCTCAACGCCATCTTGGTCTCGACATGCCGCTGCTTGGACATCTTCAGTGGCCATCATGTCCTACCAGACCGGCTGGAGGAATGCGCATTCACGCTCTGGCTGGCCAAGGAGCAGCTTCATCGGTATGTAGGCGTCAGCTTGTTTCTTCCGGCCTGAACCCTCTTCTGTCTTACAGACTTGCTTAATTCCGTCTGTCTAGGTTCGCCTTCTCCGTTCTCCGCCTCGATACCTACCTAAGCGTCCTCCTGGACCACCCTCCATCCGTACGCTACCAGGAAATGTCCATCCCCCTGCCAAAGTCCTCGCAGCTGTGGATGGCCGCCAGCGAGGAGGAGCGGCGCAAGTTACAATGGGACGAGCCTGCGGGACGCGAGAAGGCCCTGTTCAGTTCTCTCATGCGCGATGCCCTGGTCGACACCGGCAACAAACCCGGATTATACCACCTACCCTATCGACTAAGCGCAGTGGACTATCACCTCGGCCTGTGTGCGCTGCAGGTGGGCATCTGGGAAGCGGCCCGCGAGGCACACAGCGCCGCGTCCGACGAGATTGTGACCAAGCTGACGCCGGGCGATCCCATCGTGATCTGGCGCTCCCACCTGAGCGTGTGGCGAACCAAGATGGTCAGAGAATGCGGGCTGGGAGAGCAATATCTCTCGACCATACCCAGCACGACAACAAGTCCTGCAGACCCCGACTCGGTCCTCACGCCCCTCACTCTCATCCTGTGGCACATCTCCACCATCAAGATGCACGCCCCCCTGACGCTCCTTCGCGTTCACGGTTACAGGGGGCTGGATCCCGCTACGGCGGCCGCCATGGCGGCGGTGCAAAAGCCAAAGGCCCGCATGCGCACATGGATGACGTCGCAGTGTGCCCGCAAGGCGGTGTGGAGCGCGTCGCAGATCGCCCGCCTCGTTGTTGCAAGCGATGGCGCCGCTCCAGGATTGGGAGGCAATGGACCATGCTCGAGCTCAGAGCCAGCATCGCCGGGAACTACTACTGCTGTCAGCCCCAACGCGTCACCGAGGCGCCTGCTTCTCAACCCGCTCGCCGTCCCCGGGCTGCTGATGAGCGCCATCGTCACCTGTGCCTATGCCTCGCAGACAAGCGCGTGCCCCAGCTGCTGCTCGCCCCACACCGCTGCTGTCAGCAGTGAAGCCTTTGATCTCTTCACTGGCGCGGATGAGGACCCGGAGCTGGTGAGGTGGAAGGAGCATGGCGTGGGCTGTGCAATCTGGGGCCCGAGCGGGATCTTTGTGTGCCGTTGTCAGCTGGCGGCCTTGGGAGGATGGTTCTCTTCGGTGTTTGTTAGAGATGACGGTGCGAAGGGGGAGTTTGAGTCCTTCTTCGAAGGTCTCATCTGAGCGAGGGGATGAAATTGCACGATGACTACCTCGATCTAGCTGTTCTCAACTCGAGGGATAGAAGTTTCTCTTCAAAGTTGCATGGTTACTGAACAAGAAGCTGTACATGTAAGCTTCACAAGGGAATTGGCACGGTTGGCACTCTTGCCAAGGACCTAGCAAAAGTCAAGACTCAAGAGTCAATCGTATTGATTCCTGACCCGTATTTGGTGGTGCTGGGAATCTAAATCTAATGCTCACCTGTAGTTCATCACCCTATGCATTCACACCAATGATACAATGTTAGTGATGTGATACCAATGTGTACCCACGTGGGTGGCTTCACAAAGCCACAGACCATCAAAGCGGCAACCTCTGATTTGGCGCCAAGTTCGGATCGCGTTTTGCCATCTCGTCGTGTCGTCATTGATGGTGATCGAAACTGACGTCACCCATACTAAAAAGCTTAAATGCTCCTAATATTGCACACACATTCCAGCTTGATGCTTTAATGATTAACTGCACGTGTGAGTAGTTGAAACCGTCGACTGCACGACCTTCAGGATCCAGTACAATTCTGCAGTAACAACACAGCCAGCTCGTATCAGTCTACAGCCAAAAAGTCGTCAAGATGTCTGAAACCAAAGACAAGCAGGGTGAGCCCATCAACGAAGGCGACCACGTCTTTGCCCGCTCCCGCGGTGGCAGACACGAAGGCGAAGTCGAGAAGATCGTGACAACGAAGGAGGAGGCTGAGAAGGAGGGTGTCAAGCACCCACCCAAGGTACGTGCTTTAACACCCCGCTGCTGAGCCTCTTCAGATGAGATCTTTACAAATTAACGATTATATAAAGGTGCTATTTACGGACCAACATGGGCACCATGTGCAGCATAATCCGGGGACGCTGCAGCATGGCGAGTACAAGAAATGAGTTGTTCAGGGGTCGGTCGAGGGTTGGGGTTGGGGAAGCGCAGGGGCTGCACGTTGATAGAATGTGCCAAGAAGGCGGCGAAACATCAATGCAAGGGTGACTAGTCTAGTGGTCAGGACGTTTCGTTGTGGTTCTGCATTCAGATGCCACTGAAGCCCGAAGAAACCCCGGTTCGATTCCGGGGTCGCCCAACGTTTTTGGCATCTTAGATTTTTTGATCTATCTCATTTGGGCTCCAAGTTTCGGGGGTTCATCATATCTCGGCATGTTTCTAGGAATGAGCTTGGTGAGTAAGAAGTCTGGTGTGGAAAATACTTATGTGTACTTACCCCCCCCCTCTCCCCCCGAATCCCTTCTTGTGTCTAAATGGAGGGCGAAATGTGCCGGCCTGATATTGAAGCCATGTAACTTAAATACCGTAACAGCACGATATACATGTATCCTCCTGTGACTCGTTTTAGACGATCCTCACCTTTCCCTTCTCAACACCAAGTATGTCACGTACGTCCTCACCATGTAGCCCCACTATCAGTCCAATTCGGATAAACTCCTCGGGTGAGATGGGCTCAACGAGGAGTCCGATGAGAGTTTCGTTACTTTCGTATGTCGGTGCCGTTGCCATCGGGATGAAATAGTACAAATAGTACTCCCCGCCTTCTTCTTCCATTCCGCATCTCCGGTCGGGGATCCAGCACGATGAAACGTGGGAGCCGACCGAGATGACTCGGTCATGAACATGAGCAGGGATCATGGAACAACGTAGTTCGACAAACCCGCCGGTAACATGTCCAGTGAGGGAAGGACCGGCCAGTGAACATTGAGCGTCGAGAACCTCGGGATGCTGCTCGAGTTTGACGCCAAGACAGTCGTTGACATATAATTCCCGATGGTAGCGGACTGGCCCATCAACCGACGCCCATGACCAGCTTGGTGCCCGCTGGAAAACGTATGGCGTCTGCGTTGTATTCTCCCGATAGTAGCGGTTCCGGTACCAGCACATGTCAAGTATCAGAGTGTCTCTCCACAGTCCCGCCAGATAGTCTTGCTTGTTGTTGTGCTGCATCTCGTCCGCCAGCCCGGAGAATGCAGGGAGCTTGTCGGTGGCATAGGTGAGCTGCAGCGGCGAGTACTGCACAACCATTTGACGCCACGTGTGTTGCGGGCTTCTATGATAGTTCTCTGACCGGAACTCGGAGATCGTTTCATGGAAAGTCTTCTTCGCAGATTCGCCCTCTCCATATGTCATACTCCCGCACTCGCATGTGCTACGCTGGTGGCATTCCCGTAAGATTTCCTGCCGGCCAAAGTGGACGACCCGAGGGCTTAGTATACGCTCTTGGTATCCCCAAGCCCTTGATAACAGCGGGAAGTGAATCGAGAGTTTGGGGGTGGCTGTCTGGGGAAAATGGTGTATCCGCCGCATCGTGACAGACCCTAGGTCGACGACGTCCTGTTCCGACGCTTTGAAGCAGCTGCCGTGGGCCGAGTCTGCCCAGGTGGCGGCGACGGTGAGGTATGAATTGCGGTAGACGTCGACCATGCGTCCTGATTCACGCTCCCAGTTGGCATTGTCCTCGTCATGCTGGATGATGCAGAGCGCATCAATCCACACGTACCGTACGCCGAAGAAGCGCGCGATGTGGATAGCGTCTTGCAGGGTCTGTGGAAGGTCTTCTGCCTTGATCCCCTGCTTGTGGCGTTCCAGATTGTCCCGTGTGGTTTTGAGGAACTCAGCCGTCCCCCAACAGTACGAGAGACAGAGGTAACGACCGGTCTCGTCTTCTGTCTCGCGCAAGGCAATTTGACTAGAAGCAATGGCGCCTAGATCGAGAATTCTTGTTGGCAAAGCGGCTTCAAAGCGTTGGGCACATCGTGGGTGATCCTTAATTCACTAGCGGGTGAACCAGTTGAAGTTGTAGAGGGTAGACAACCCGCAAGTTTCCACGGATTTGGTATATCTGTGGAAATGGTGAGCCTATGACAGCACAGGAAACGAAACGATGCATTGCTTACCGGCGTTGGCGCGTAAAATCACGGAAGTGGGCAACTCATCGAACCCTCTCTTAAAGATGGTCAAGCACAGTGCTCGGGCAAACGGCGTGGGGGAAACCAAAATCAGAGAGCGCCCGTCCCAAGATCCAGAATCCAACCCGAGCTGCTTGACAGCTTGCCAAACGATCTCGCACCCAGTGCAGATGGGGATCATACTGCTCAGGCTTCCCGGGCGCGCCTATGCAACACTTGCCCATTGTTTACACAGCTCAGTGTCATCAACACTACCCCAACAGAGCAAAGGACACCTCCACTCCTCATCTTCTGCGGCTGGCTCGCAGGCTCGTGCAGTGCAGTTTGTAGAGTGGGATGGGGGCTCGCATGGCAACATGTAGTCTGGCGACGCTGCCGTTAGTCCCCAGAGATGTTTTCCGTTCGGCTCCGAGTCGTCCATGAGGATTTCAGCCAGGGGGTGCTGAGGAAGTCTCTCAGTCGATTGGGTCCACCGTCGCGGTGGACCTGGGGAAAATTGGCGATGGAGATCAGGTGTTGAGGTATTGGGTCAGGATAAGTTAGGGTATTGCGTACATGTAAGGGGATCGCGAGGAGGAGAGATGAAGAAGGCCGTCGTCAGGGAACCTTCAGGGTTGGGCATTTATGCTTGAGGTAGTTGTGCAGGCAAGGTCCCATGGCTTTTATGAGGCAGTGTGCGGGCTGTGCTGCGCATACAATGCGACCCTGGTTTGTTTGTTGGCGCGAAACTTAAAGACAGGGGTCCAGCCAGAATTTGGAAATCAACAGCAAAACAACGGATTGTAGTGCAGCAAAAAAGTACTAGTTGGAATCATCTTCTATATCCTCCAACTGCCAGTCTTTTTAATGGTTATTGGGCTGTCAAAGGAGAAGTTTTTGAACTACGGACCAGGGCCCCTGTCCAAAGTTTCGCGCCAACCACCAAACCAGGGTCGCGTTGTACCTTAAGTTGCTGTGTAAGGCTTATAATCACACGCACCAGCAACTCTCAGCTGTTCTTGGCAAGGCATCCAGTCGAGGCCCCATGTTTGCTGTCCCTAGGGACAAATTCAACAATCAACTGCTAAGTCAAGATCTTTATGGGCTAACTAGACCCACAACCTAACCCGTGTGTCGCTAGTACACATAAATGAAGTCTTCATTCTTGAGGTCAGTCAGATCCTCAAATCCCCTCTCGCCCACGTTATCCGTGGCCTGGTTCAGGACGTCGTCGTCGTCTTCAATCTCGCGGTTGTCCCTAAACAATCTTAGTTATTTTGTTTCCAATTGGAGAGGAAATGGAGGAGGGGTGGTTCGAATCTCGGGAGTATACTGTAACTGACCCCCGAAACGGTCATGAAAGGTTCCAACGCCCCAAAGGGTAACTTACACCATGCTCAAATCGACGATCTTCTCGGGCTTCCCGAGCGCGACGCGCGCCTTGGCGTGCTTGACGTTGAGGAACTTGATCAGGAGCGCGCCTAGCGCTACCAGAACGGCGAGGGCAATGAACAACACCAGGTTGGCGGTCAGGCCCCGCGTGTAGCGTGGCTTCTCGTCGGGCCGGAACAGCAGCGGGCCGATGACGTTGCCGGCGTTGGAGCCGATGAAGAGCATGGCCGTCGTGACCTTGCGCTTGGTGTCGCCGCCCGTGTTCTGCCCGGACCACGAGTAGATGAGCGGCGAGATGCCCGGGTACACCGAGATGATGTAGTACCCGAAGAGGAGCACGGCGCGGTCGCTCGCGGCCCGGCCGACGGCCAGCAGGATGGAACAGCCGGCTATGGGAAGCAAGCAAAGCAAAAGGAGAACCGGTGCCTTCATCCTGATCTTATCCGCGAGCCAGGCGCCGCCGAGCGTGGCGATCATCTGCACGGCGCCGAAGGGGATGTTGAAGAGGATGGTTGTAAAGCGGTCGAAGCCGAAGGATTCGATGATCAGGGGCCCGAACGTCGAAATGCCGCCGCTTGGGATGCTACACATAGGAGTTTAGTGGCTGTCTGGCAGATTTGTGTCAGGGGTGCCACGTACGAGATGATGAACATGATGAAGAACCAGAGCCATGTCTTAAGGTCAAGCATGGCCTCCCACACGTGCTCCCACTTCCAAACACCAGAGCCGATACCCTGCTGGTTCATTCGGAGGCGTTCGATTGCAATCAGCTTGTCGTCAGCCTTCAGGAACTTCGCTGTCATGGGCGAATCCGGCATGAAGATGCTGCGCGACACGAAAAGGTCAGCAGAGCGCTTGATCATTCCAGGACGAGTAGCTTACAAGGTGACGATGGACCAGGCCACGGTAAGCTATCACAATGTCAGTCAGGTGATATCTAATCGGAGGGCAAAGCCAGTTTGAGGACATGCCCGCAGAGACAGCTGTAAGGAGGTTAAACGGCGGGATTACTTACGGCTCCACAGAACAGGAAGATGATCTGGTAGGAATGCAGAACACTCGAGTTAATATGGCCAAGACCATAAGTCAACAAGCTACCAATCTGTGGACACGACGCTTGACTTGTCAGTGTAGTTCTGCGTGTCGAGACGACCTGCTGGGGACGAAGGCTTACGATATTGACAACACCCAACATGGCATACCATGCGGCATTCCGCTTTGTTTGCTCTCGGCGTCTGTACCACATCTGAACGATGGCGACGAAGGTCGGGGCTGGTAAGAAAGGTTCAAAGTCAGTTACCTACACTTTTGAAGTTGACTAGGTTCAGGAGAAACAACGTACCGACAGCAGACTCAAAAATACCGAGCACGAGCCGCGAGATTAGGAGGCCAGTAAAGTTGTGCGCCGCTGTCATTCCGCAAAGGATAGCGCCCCAGGCGAAGACCATGACGGCTAGAAACTTCCCGATGGGGAACTTGACGAGGATGTACGCGACCAATGGCTGGAAGACCAGCTGGGCGAGGTAGACGACGGAACCGAGCCATGAGTACTGATCTCCCTCGAGGCCGGTGTCTGCAATGAGACCAAAAACGGCGGCATACGAGAGCGTGTTCTTGTCGAGGGACTGGAGGCAGTAGATGAATCTAGTAGGCGCAGGGAGGGGGTGGTCAGCCTCTCGTTTCATTTGGTTTCTACCAACGGGGATTCCCTACAGCAAGATGGGCAGAATCCTCCAGTCGATCAACTTTGCAACGCGCCGGCTGTCGCCATGTGTAACAGCAACCTGGTGGTCCG